GTCAGAGGACTTCCTAACTTAAAGTTCAGCTCAGATACATTGTGTGAAGCATGTCAAAAGGTAAGTTTGCAAAACCCTCTTTCAAATAAAAAAATGTTGTTTCTACCTCTAGACTATTAGAACTTCTTCATATAGATATGTTTGAACCAGTGAAAACTGCATTCATCAGTGGCAAGAAGTATGGATTAGTGATCGTAGATGACTATAACAGATGGACATGGGTAAAGTTCTTAAGACACAAGGACGAGTCACACTCTGTGTTCTCTACTTTCTGTAACCAAGTTCAAAATGAAAAAGAGTTTAAAATTGTAAAGTCAGAAATGATCATGGCAGGGAATTCGAAAGCAAAAACTTTGAAAAGTTTTTTAATGAGAATGACATTTCTCATGATTTCTCTTGTCCTATAACTCCTCAACAAAACAGATTTGTAGAACGAAAGAATAGATCTTTACAAGAAATGGCCAGAACCATGATTAACGAGACTAACATAGCTAAAAAATTATGGGCAGAAGCCGTTAATACAACATGTTATATTCGGAATAGAATCTCAATAAGACCTATTCTGGAAAATACTCCATATGAATTATGGAAGAACAAAAAGCCCAACATATCTTATTTCTATCCATTTGGATGTACTTGTTTTATATTGAACACTAAAGAACATCTGAACAAGTTTGATTTTAAAGCACAAAAGTGTTTCATGTTAGGATACTCTGAACGCTCAAAAGGTTATAGAGTATATGACATAGAAACACGAATTGTGGAAAAATCTATTAGTGTAGATTTGATGATAAGCTTGACTCTTAAAAGTCAAAGCAGGGTAAATCTTTTGCAGATATAGAAGTTCAAATTACAGGTACTGAAGACAGATCTTCAGAAAATAAAAGTTTAGAACTTCAGCCAAATACAGAAGAAGACATTACAAATATTACAACAGCTTCTGAAGAATCCATCCAGAAAAGACAATCCACAAGCAGCTTAGCACATCCTAAAAGCATGATTCTGGGAAAGAAAGATGATCCAATCATAACAAGATCTACATTCAGAAATACTATCTCTTATGGGATTAGTATCTCTGATCGAGCCAACTTTCTTAGACAAAGCACTTCTAGACAATGATTGGATCCTTGCAATGCAGGAAGAACTAAATCAATTTATTAGAAACGATGTGTGGGATCTAGTCCCTAAACCAAAAGGCTTCAACATCATTGGAACCAAACGGGTCTTTAGAAACAAGCTAAGTGAACAAGGAGAAGTTATCAGAAACAAAGCACGACTGATTGCACAAAGTTATAGTCAGCAAAAAGGGATAGATTATACAAAAACCTTTGCTCCAATCTCCAGGTTAGAATCTATCAGACTCTTAATTTCATTTTTTGTAAATAATGGCATCACTCTTTATCAGATGGATGTCAAAAGTGTTTTTTAAATGGTTACATTGATAAAGAAGTTTATGTGCACCAACTCCCTGGTTTTGAAAATACAAAACATCCAGAATATGTTTATAAACTTAAGAAATCGTTATATGGTCTGAAACAAGCTCCCAGAGCTTAGTATGAAAGACTAAGTAACTTTATGTTAGAAAATGAGTTTACCAGAAAGAAGGTGGGCACAAATATACTCTGTAAACCATTTAAAAATGATATTCTAATTTGTCAAATATACGTAGATGATATGATTTTTGGATCTACTAAAGCCTCCTTGGGGAAAGAATTTGCTAAGACTATGTAGGCAGAATTTGAAATGAGCTTGATGGGTGAACTCAAGTTATTTCTGGGAATTCAAATCAATCAAACTCCAGAAGGAACCTACATACATCAAAGCAAGTATGTTAAAGAACTTCTGAAGAAATTTGATTTATCAGAAAGTAAGCCATCCAAAACTCTTATGCATCTTAATGCATTATGGAAAGGGAAGAGGTAAGTAAGAAAGTAGAACAGAAGCTCTACAGAGGCATGATTGGTTCTCTCTTATATTTAAGAGCTTCAAGACCTGATATTCTATGTAGTGTTTGTCTTTGTGACAAATTTCAATTTGATCATAGAGAATTTCACTTAACAATAGTTAAGAGAATTTTCAAGTATCTAAAAGATACTACTAATCTTGGTCTTTATTATAGAAAACCCAGAGAATATAAATTAGTAGGATACTATGACGCTGAATTTGCTAGAGATAGAATAGAAAGAAAAAGTACTTCTAGAAGCTGCCAGTTTCTGGGGGATAACCTAATCTCATGGTCCAACAAAAGACAATCCACTATTGCACTATCAACTACTGTGGCTGAATATATAGCTGCAGCTGGATGCAATACTCAGATGCTCTAGATGAAAAGCCAGCTTGAAGATTTTAATATTTATGAGAGTAACATTCTTATCCTCTGCGATAATACTTCTGCCATTTGTCTTTCTAAAAATCATATTTTACATTCTAGGGATAAACATATAGAAATTAAACACCATTTCATTATGGACTATATTCCGAAGGGAATTCTTTATTTAAAATTTATAGACACGGACCATTAATGGGCTGACGTTTTCACTAAACCCCTTGCTGAAGATAGATTTAATTTCATTCTGAAACACCTCAATATGGAGTTACGCCCTGAATAAAAGTGTAGTTTTTATATATTTAATCCTCAGAATTTTTTAATTTATTTTTGTGAACATCTGAACAATAGTTCTTCAAAAGTGAGAAAGAAAATTTTGTATCAGAAACTATTCAGAAGATCTGAACATTTTCCAAAAATACTTCATTACTAAGATAGAAGCAAGCAGTTCACCATATCAACATCTGTCAACTTTAAACGCTGAGTTACTCTCTAAGGCTGAACACGTGTTCAAAATTTGAAGGGCTGAAACAGTTGAGTTACTGCATTGAGGCGCAAGTCAAATCGATAATTGTTCAAAATCTTCACGCCATCTCTCTTTTTCAGAAATCATTAACGCAATTAATCATTTTATTTATTTTAGTAATTAAAATTAAAATTCATATTTTCTCCCCGTTGTCTATTTATACCTCACTTTCTCACAAACACTTTCACACCTTCACTCCCACTCTCCCTATTCTCTCTGTATTTGTTCTTTTCTCGTTTGTGTGCTCTCAAAACCCTAAGTCTGTGAACAATGACTTCTTTTCAACAAATGTCTCAAGATTCTTAAATCAATATTCTTGGTTCATCCATGGTGCTAATATCGCTAACAGAAGTGTCGCGTCACGAATCACTTACAACTTCTAAATGCCTTGAAACCTAGGATAAGTCTTTCTTTCTTTGATTTTCCTACCACTATCTACGAGTTTGAGGGATTTTTCGCTGAATGTTTCTTGTCCAACTCTGTCTTGTTTAATGAACTTCCATCGATGGAGAAACGAGGGAGTTTTGGTGATGATTTCAAGGTGGGTGCTTGGTAGGTGAGTTTGATAAGGATCAGAGATTGTCATCGTTGATCGAATGAGATCGTTGTTGGTGAGATCGTTGTTGGTGAGATGTGACTTTTAGGACAAGATAAATTTGATGTGAAAATTTAAGAGAATCAGAAGTCGATTCCCACATACACAACATTATTCTAATGTGGAACCAAAAATATGTGATGTTGAATGAATAAACTATTCCAGTGTGGTGGTAAGAACTCTTATGCAATGGAGTAGAAAGAATCTGCAAAATTTTAACACTCTAAGGACCAAGTCAAGTGTTAGTGAAGTCTAAGAGATGTAGGTTTAAGTGGGAATGAGATAATATCAATAATCAACTTGTGATAAAGTTTATATATGTCATGTGGTTGAAACCACCCCATATCACCCGATATGTGACGCGGAAAGCCGCATGATTATATCTAACATCAAGGAATGTTGGGGTTAAGATCAAATGTCTTATATTTCGAGAAATTTTCATATGTCCATATAATCTACTTGGTGAAGTTCTAAATTAGACTTCCATAATTGGGCCTATAATTGGGCCTTTATCCGGCTAGGAACAGGAACAAAAATGTCGAAAGATATCTTTATCAATAAAAGTTTCAAAAAAAAATAAAACCATGTAAATATATCATGTTATTTTGCACAAAAGAGTATATTACAATATGTACAAAAATGAAGTAAAATTATTAAATAATCATGTATTGACACTAAACAAGTTGTGCACATAAATGACAATCACAAAATGATTCCTCCAAGGATGGAAAAATCCATGCAGTCTTTGATGATCTCAATAATATAACATAGGATTAGAAGCTGTTTTCCCCTTTGTACACCCGTTCAAAAGAGATATAAACTCCAGAAGAGGTACCGTGAAATCTTCCCTTCGATTAGTGCCGAAGACATAATCATTCAATATTAACGGCACTGTTGAACCACTACAAGGAAATAGATAGACATTTAAAGAAGTTCAACTGAATAACTCAAGTCAGATGAGATTATTCAGATGGCATGACCACCTTTCAGGAAAATAACATATTGAGATTGTTAAGGTAAAACCCGAACCTAGTCAAACATGGGACAGGTTTTAGCCAGTACCCAGGGTACAATTTTGTTGCCATGTCTAGCCCCAACAGCAAGGTAGTTAAAATCGAGATTTACAGCAAGGTAGTTAAGTCATAGACTTGTAACAGTAATTGTAAGATTATACAAGATTCTAAAGCACATGTATAAGCATATAAAATTCATATACATGCAGATAAAATAGCATTAGTCACTCAAAGAAAAATCTTAAATCACTTAGCAATGCAAGTGTAAATTTAAATTCATAAGCATTGGTCATAAGTCATAAGTAAGATAATAAAATCCTCAAATCACACTTCAAATACTAATATAACTATAAATTCATTTATAAGCATAATCACAAAAGTTTCAGGAATAATATAAATTTGAATTCATTTAATATGAATAATCACAGATTCGTTTCAAAGGTATATATATACTCTAAATCACCAAGGGCAAGCGTAATTAGTCGCAAAATCATGGGATTTTACAATTCAAATTGAGATTTTGAGTACCAGTGAGTTTCATCATTCTTCTAAATAACCTAGCTCTTTCTCCCACTTAAGACCGGACATTTGCCGACCAAAAGGCACAATGAGGTTATACCGAAAAACCTGCAAAAAAGGGAAACAACAGAGAAGACATGTTACAAGTGCAATATTACACCCATCAAAAACAGAATTCAAGATTTGCTAGAACCATATTTGATTCTCCAACTTCCTGCAAACATTTAACATGACAAAACAACCTAGCCATCTCACCTTATCATTGATTTCTTTTAACTGCGATTTCAAAGCCTCTGAACTTTCATCCCACGTAGACTGATCTCCACTGCATTTACTTGCGCAAGCTTTCTTCAATGACATCCTCCATTGAGATATTCTAGATCTTATCTCTTTGTTAAGTTCAACCCACTCCGGTGCACATCCGTTCTTGGAGAGGATTCTGTATAACGTGTCTTCAGCTGGATCTGCATGAGGATTTGTGTCAAGTTTAAGCGGCTTTCCTTTCCCCGGCAAGTTTTCGAATTGGCCTTCTTCCATTGAATGCCATATTCTTTGCTCAACAACGTTGATCAAGTCAGTTTCTGACCTGTCTAACAGCCAATTTGTTGTGTCAAACAAATGATGATAAAACTAACACAGACCAGTTATACTGTGATAAAACAAATGATGATAAAACTAACATGTATTCACTATGAACTACAGAATATGAGTTGTGATATGCAATACCTAACAATATTGCGCTGGCCACGAAGTTCGGGTGGTAGTTTCTGATCGTTGACGGCGTCGATTACCGACGAAAGACGATCCCCGAGCTTCTTCTTATCCGGCTTAGGGTTACCGGAAGATGACGGCGAAGACGAAGAAGAAGAAGAGCATCTGACGGTGGGAAGCGGTGGGTTGTGGAAGTGGAGAAGGGAGAGGGAATTCAGAGAGGCGTATCTCCCGAGGCGAAGATACGACGCCATGCTCATCCCCACCGAGTTTTTCTTCTGCTTCACTACTTTCAGAAATGGTCCCTCTTTTTGTTCAAAATATCGGAAATGGTCCTTGATTTATTTTATTTTTATTTTTATAAATTGTTCTTTTACCCTACAATTTCTTCGGTTAAGAAAAGTTCTACTATGTTTGTTTGATGAATACAAATTGTAATGATTTTAAAATTGCTGTGAACAAGTGGGAATCACCGGAATGGATTGGCAGAAGGTTCAAAGGAGAGGTTTCAGGTGTTTGACTCTAAGATGGGATGTCTTCCCAAAGGGTAATCTATTGAAGGATGAGGGATTGGAGGTAGGGATGTCAATGGGGCGGGGCGGGGCCGGGGGGACACTTCCCCATCTTTTTCCCCGCCATCAAATTCATTCCCCGTCCCCGTCCCCGATCTCCGTCACGGGGGAATTTCTATCTCCATCCCCGTTTCCCGCGGATCCCCGTTCCCCGCGGGGATCCCCATAGATCCTACATTTATTCATTAATATTTTATTTTTTTAAAATGTTTATATTTTCTATAAAAATAAAAAACACAAAGAATTCACATATTTATTATGTTATTAAAAAATACTAGTATTTGACATTTATTATTTTTTATTAAAAATACTAATGGAACACAAAATAATAATATTTTTTTTATAAATTTCTATAAAATGCTATAAAATTCAACAAAATGAACTATAATACTTTTTAAAGTAACAATATGCCTAAACAACTAAAAAAATCCAACAACATAATTATGCTTAAAAAACTATACTTCATCAAAACTAATAAGGGATAATTATAAAATTTAGCATCATGAGTATGCTTGAAAAGCTAAAAAATACTTCATAATAAGTCAACTAAAAGCAAAAGTCAACATATCTCTATTTGCTCAATTGATAACACACGTAAAGTAGAAATATTAAAATACTTAAAACAAAGTTACATATAAATAAACTAAAATATTAAGCAAAATATCCAAACAAGTAATGATCAATCATGTCTCTCTTTCCAACTTCTCCTTGCAAGGTCTTCTTCCTCATTCCACAATTAGATATGACTTTCTTTTTCCTACGAAAAGTAAACAATCAATAATTATATTTACTTAAAAAAATACTTTAAAAACTAAAAGGTAATCAACACTAATATGTAAATTACCTTATTATCATCATCATCATCATCATCCATATCTTCATCCACACATTCGAATTGAGTCAACGTTTTTGAATAACCTAAGAAACAAATAGCTAAATTAAAATTTAAAAATCCTTTTCAATTAATCTTGTAAAAGATAAAAATATATTACCTTTTATATCTTTTCGGATCCAATCTTGAGTGCACATCAAAGCCTCTAAAGTGTCTTCCTTCAACCTACTACGTTGTTGACTTAAAACACGACCACTAGTACTAAAGGCGGACTCTGAAGCAACGGTAGAGATAGGAATTGCTAAAAATAATAGGCGGGGCGGGGGGTGTATTCCCCGTCCCCGTCCCCGAAATGCTCTCGGGGGAATTTTTCTCCCCATCCCCGCCCCCACGGGGGAAAATTCCCCATCTTTGGGGCCCCGAACGGGGCGTTCCCCGCGGGGATCCCCATTAACAGGTCCAAACTGACATCCCTAATTGGAGGGGTTATCGTCGTTCTATTTTTCGGAATTTTCGGAAAGGATAGCGGCGACAGAAATTGTTGAACTTTTTGGGTGCATTAGGGAGTTAGTGGAGGTGGTCATTCCATCCACACAAAAAAAATAAGTTTGGTAAACAATTTGGTTTCGCGAGATTCAAGGAGGTTGAAGATGAGAGGTTATTAGGGGTGAAATTGGACAATGTGATGATAGACGGTAGGAAACTGCATGCAAATTTACCGAGATTTTTTAGGAATAGTGCGGGTGTTGCACCCCAAAATTTACTTTTATATCTCTCTCTTATTTAGCTTAGGTTTTGCATTGCATTTGCAGATCTTCCATTAGGTCATCTGCATATCAGGTCTTTCATTCAATAAAGCACCTGAGGTTCAAAGTTCAGTGGTGGTGTTATATCAGGGTTTCATAGCGTTTTGAGGTGGATATATTCAATAAAACCTGATTCTCCTGTTTCTTCTTTAAACCGTGAATTGTGAGGTTATGATTATGAGGTATGGTTATCAGGGACTTCTTTCTCCTCAAGTTATAGGGCTATTCTCTAAAATTCACCAGGATTTTGAATCATGGTTCAATTCTCTGTATTTCTCATAAGATCCAAGTTAATTTGTTGTGAGATATGGTTGTCAGGATTCTTTCTTATTCATCAGACTACAAGGATATTTTTTTCTTCTCAATAGCAAGTTGCATGGTTTCTTCTTCAATGATTATGAATTAGGGTTTCTGATCCCTTGTGTCTAGGCATGGTACTGTTTTGACGAAGAATCTCATTGTTTAGGGTTTTGTCTAATGGCTATTTTGGTAATACTTCCTCCATATTCCCATTATTCATTATCAAAGGAGTTCTTCGAGGGCATTAGTTTTGTGTTAAGGTAATTGGTTTGCGAGCTAAGTCGTTTTGTGGACTGAATTGCTAGAGCTTTGGACCATGGCACGAGATGTGAATTTGCGGGTTCACTCTTGATTAAGGTAATCTCATCATTGTAAGTTGAATTGAATTGAGTTAAGGATTCATTGAAGTTGCACGTGGATTTGGTTATGTTCATTAAGGATTGAAGTTGATTTTGAATCATCGTTTGGTTGGTATTCATTCAAATTTTCTAAAAAGTGTTCAAATACATCAAAATGTTTAAAGCTTGTAAAATTGGAAGGGACATGTAGTTGGCTTGCTCAGGATTTAAGTTACAAGACATTTGTGGGGAACTTTCATTCATTCATTTAACTATTCAAAATTCATTAAGAAATGATGGAGAGTTTTGATTCAAATTTCAATTAAAGGAGGCTTTCCACACTTTAGGTTTCATGAGTTTTTAGAGAGGATGGTTTATTCAAGAAAGTCAAGGGATTCATTTGAAATCAAGATTCTTTACAAGAGGAGTGTACAAGATATCATTCTTCGTCATCCATTATTCAAAAACCATTACAATTCAAGAAGTTCTCATTACAAGTAAATTGTGCAAATATGCAATTCGTTACAAGCATTTCTAATTCAATTTCATTCATTCCAATTTACAAGTATCAAACCACATCCATAATCCATTCAAAGTTCAAGACAAGTTTAAAAACCATGTCATAATCGTCCAAGACTCCTTCATTATCTGTTGAAGTAGAAATCATCCAAGATTCCTTCATTATCTATTGAGGTAGCAATCGTCCAAGATTCCTTCATTATTTGTTGAGGTAGCAATCATCCAAGATTCCTTCATTATCTGTCAAGGTAGCAATCGTCAAAGATTCTTTCGTTATCTTTTGAGGTAGCAATTGTCAAAGATTACTCTAGACGCAGTCTAACACAGACTCATCCTGAAACAACCCTATACAGGCTCTTTCTAACACATTTTCAGGTAACAGTTAATTCCATTATCCCCAACAAGTTACTGTGAAGCCTGGATTTCAACCAGAAGGTAGCAAACTTTCACATCTCCAGTCCAGAGATAACTCCTCAATAGAGCCTTGGACAACTGAAGTTTCTAGACCCTATTCCCCATAGAGTCTACCTCAAGCAGGAGAACAACAAAAATAAACATTCCCCAGCAGAATCCTCCTCAGACAGCAGGAACATGAATCCCCATGAAGAGACCTCTTATGAAGTCAACATCTACTTTGGATGGCATCTTTAAGCCCATCTCTGATGACTCTCAGTCATCTTCTCCAAATGGCATCTGTAAGCCCATTCTCGACATCATCAACCATTAGTGTTACTTCATGCGAGTGCAAATTTCTGGGCACTCTAATGTTCAATCCTCTTTCACCTTTAGATCACGAGAGGCAGATAAGCCAATCTAAATCCTCAGATGTAAGAAGATTGAACAGGGGCAGATGTTGTACCCCAAAATTTTCCCTCCCATTTTTACTCAAAGCATGCTCCTAGAGATCCTCAATTGCTCAAGGTTGACCAAGAATTGACAAGACAAATTCTCGTCCTAAGCAATGAACCTCTAGCTAGGGTTTCACTTTTCATCAAGATGTGTGAGCTCCAAAGGTACCAAATGTTTTCCATGGTCCTATTATGCCTTCAAGATTTTCCATGAAAAATTGCATGTCTTCCACTACAAGTTTGCTCATTCAATTGCCCAAATACTTGAAAATCAATTGTACTAGGTCAAAAGTCAATTGTGGCCCGTGTACAGTCAAACTTCAAGATTTTTGGTCAACATTAATATTTTGAAGTGATGTCCATCATTTAATCAAGGGTTGACCATGATTCCTCAAGAAATGCTCCTAATCTATCAAAAGTCAAAAATTGCTAAATTAAGGTTTCTATAGGAAAAGTCAACTAAAATTTGACCAGGCATAACTTTTACATACTTCATCCATTTTCCCCAAACCAAAGCTCATATTGAAGATAATATCATTTCCTACAACTTATATTTTTTCCTCAAGATCAAGAGATACACCATTTGAAAGATACAAACTCATACATTACAGGTCATTTTCAGAAAGTCAACAAAAGTCACTTTTTCCCAAGACCTTTTACCTCAAGATAAAATCTTCAAATATAAAATTGATCAAAATAGGTATTGAATTAGACATCTTGGGATATCCAAAAAGTCCAAGATCATCATCATGAGATAAAAATTGAGCAAGTTATGGCTTGCCCAAGTTGGGAAAATTTGGGAAATTTCAAGAATTATGCATTGAGCAAACTTGAAGTTTTAGGTCAATGGCTTAATTTCTTGGACTTCAAGCATCTTCCTAAGCTTATAGAGGACCTAAAAATAATTCTTACCATGCCTTACATTTTCTACCTATTTTGTACATGTTTATTTTATTTTATTCAAATAAATATAAAATAAAATGTATAAAATAATTGGAAATGAGCTTGAGCATTTGGGCTAGTGTTTTGGTCAGCCTTGGGCCCA